TATTAATTTGGGGTTGCAACGACGCTCAAGTGGTAGAGTGCTTGCCTAGCAAGTGAAAGGCCCTGAGTTCAAGCCCTAGTACTGCCAAAAAGTTTTTAAAAAATCTATTATTAATTTCATTGAATCTTGACCTTTGAGTCCACGTCTTTGTTAATGTTCTGTGTGAGGAACTGGGAAGAACAGGCAGAACACCTCTGCCTCACACTAAAGTAGGACATGTGCCTGAAGGAAAAGCACTGTGTGATTGTACAAGTTGTGAAGGTAACGAACCACTTTTCTATGGAACAGTATTTTTATTTAAAGAATGACAGAAAGGCAAACTATTGCTTATTCTGAATGGTGTGTTTGACAGATATTTTCCTGAAAATAAAGAAAGTGTATGCATTATTTCAATGAGACCTGAAAGCATTACTAATGACAAAATGCAGGCTTTTGAACAAAATTGGAAATTAGAAATATTTTGCTCCTACTATGAGCTTGACAGCATCCCAATATTGGAAGAAAATTCCTATAAAACCAGTGATGATATTAACAAAAGTGATTTGTTGTTTTTACATGAAACGATGTTTTAAAGGTGACACAATGCAGTGAACCAGTACCTTCCACTTAGTCAAGGCAAAACATTTAAAAAATCATGCATGAGTAGCAGACTCACCCAACATGTAGGATAGACCAATGGGTTTAAGTGAACCACAGTACATAAAATTTATTGATGTGATTTAAATTTCCACATTTCACCTAAGAAAGTAACACTTTAAGAACACTTTAAGAAAGTAACACTTAGGCCATGCAGTGACTCCAGCCTGTAATCTTAGCTATTTGGGAGGTGGAGGTTTGGAGGATTGTGATTCAGGGCCAACTCCCGGCATAAAGTTTGCGAAACCCCATCTCAACCAATGACTGGATGCAGCTGTGTGCACCTGTCATCCAAGTTATGTGGTGAGCACAATTGGGAGGATCATAGTCCAGGGCACAAAGGAAGATCCTATCTCAAAAATAACCAACATAAAAAGAGCTGGAGACATGGTTTAAGCAGTAGATCACCTGCCTAGCAAGTGCAAGGCCCTGAGTTCAACCCCCAGTACTGTCAAAAAAAAAAAAAAAGAAAGAAGTTAACACTTGTTAAATTTGAGTGTTGTATCAAAGAAAAATATCCAGGATTATTTGTAAATGACACTAAGATTCCCTTCCTTTCCCCAGTCACTTATGTGAGTAAATCCATATTTTCTTCATTTATTTCAACGGAACAATATATTGCAACTGATTGATGTAGAGTTAGATATGAAAATCCAACTGTCTTTTTCCAAATCAGGCATTTAAAAGAATTGTACAATGTAAAATACTGCTATTCTTCTCACAAAATATTTTCTTATTTAAGAACATATCATGTTTTTCCCTAGAAAAATGTATATTTACATGTACTAGGTTTATTGTTATTTTTAATGAACTGATAAAGAAATGTTTTTAAACTTCCCAGTTTTAACTTTTAATGCAATAAATTGTGATGAAGATAGTCTACATAAAAGGACACTTTTTGAGTCCTCATTTTTTTGGTGGTACTGAGGGTTGAACTCAGGGTCCTGCATTTGCTAAGCAGGGGCTCAACCACTTAAATCAATCCACTGGTTTTTTTTGTGTGGTTATTTTTAAAGTAGAGTCTTCCTTTATGTCTGGGCCAACCTGGATTGAGAGCTTCCCATTTGGGCCACTCCACATAGTTGGAATGACAGGCACATACTACCATGCCCTGCCATTGGTTGAGATGGAGTCTCAAGAACTTTTTGTCCAGGTGGCCCTCGCTCATGATCCTCCCAATCTCCATTCCCAAGTAGCTAGAATTACAGGCATGAGCCAGCACACCCACATGTCCTCAAACTTTTCAATTTGTTAAGAGTCATGAGACTGACAAATCTGACAACTGTTTGGGTATAAAATGATGAGACTGCACTTCTGTAAAGGGATAACAGCAAACTTTTGGAAATTGAAGAACAAGACCCAAGTAAAAAATGAAGTTCTAGACTTTAAGAAAGACATTCACAATTATGAATTACTTACACTAGTTGTTTGAATGAGTTATTGAAAAGTTAATTTAGTTGGATTCATAGGTAACACCTTCAAGATCTTAAAAGAATCACATCCTTAAGGTAATTGTGTAACATTAAATCTAGTGTAATAGTTCCAATAATTCTTGATAATTTCTATACCACATACAACCAAATATAAAAATCCAAAGGCAAAGGATAAATCCTTTCATATACATGTAATCCTACAGAACTCTGTTCTAGCTATTTCTCACATTTTATTTTACAGAAGAAGAACCAAGTATCAAGAAGCATGAGTAATTTAAGTCACAAGAAAGTAAATAGTAGAGCTGGGATTTTGAACTGCTTTTTCATTTAAAATGCAGGACTTTTGTTCACTCTATCCCAGATTCTACTCTCAAGTTTATCAAGTGGTGGTTGATGAGGATTTTTTTGTTTTTATTGATCTGTTTATTTTTTACCATGTCAACAAAAGGTACCTATTCTACTTTGCTAAATGATTATGCAACAATCCAGTAACCAAGGGTAAAATGGTGTATCCAATACATTTGCCTTCTTATTAGCTATACACATTTAGATGTTAGATAACAGAAAGTATCCATAGACTAATATGTAATATGTTGTTCCAATGAAATGTTGGATGACCTATTTTTTCTCAGCTTCTAACCCTTGTAATTGTATCATGTATAGTATTTAGGTTTCCATTCCTCAGTAAGAGCCATTAATCATGTGCTCCATTAACAATTACTCTAAAAAAATCAGGACCAAGCTATTAAAATAAGTGTAGGATGATAGCAATTATATGAACAGCTAAAGCCAATGTATTTGAAATATAAGTGACTTTTAGCACTTTCTTGGGATCCATCAATGTGATGACAAAATGTGTTGCTTTGAAACAAACATTTTTATGGAAAATGTTTTATGACATGGGCTTGAAATCAACATTAAATCTTGCCTGATAATAACCTAACAGATTATTCTTGTTTCAAATGTGTGTTAGCAAGAAACATTAAAAAGGGCAGGCATTCCTGGAGATAAAATGCCAAGGAAATTAAAGCTTACATGATTAGAGTTCAGATCACATAAAATAATTAGGATTATTATCAATTGACTCATTTATGTATAGTCCACCTCTTTTTAAGGGAAACATGAGCCTCCACACTAGAGTTTAGTCCTTCTTTGTAGGAAATGTGCCAATATGGAGAAAACTAAGAAATAACAGAAGCTGGAATTTGAGCTCCTTTTTCTACATATTGAGTGATATTAATTTATTATTCCTATGTAGATCTTCTCTGGGCTTCTCAAGGCTATTGTAATACATATATTTGAAAAAAATTAAATTTGTCTGCATTTTCTCAAATTGCATATTGACTGGTTAGCAGATATCAAGATATATAAGTGAATATGTCAATACAATTTAAGTGAGAACATGCAATGGTGTCCAGAAAAATTTGTTTTCAAAATAATAAAGAGATAGTAATTATCCTCAGTGGAACATGAGAAGAAGCAATAGAAGGAAACATCAACCCCAGTTGTGAGCATGTGATTGGAACATAAAATTCAAGCTCCTACTTTGATGAGAAAATTATTGCTCAGTGAGGTAAAATAATGTATTCAAATTCATACAGTTAAAAAATTACAACCTGTATCACAAAATGATTTGACTTGAGAGCCAGGACTCTGCCCAGTGCTTATCTGCATTTCTTCTGAACTAAGTGTAGAGCAGTTTTGTGCATCCTCAAGGGACTGACTGGATGAATAGCAGATAGATTTCAGCTCAGTGCAAGTGAACTGATACATTTACTCTAGGAGAATACGTTTAAAGGTATTTTATTAGTCTGTAGGATATCTCTGAGATATTGCTGAGATTATGCTTTTTTAATGTAAAAGGATAAAAATAATGTCAAACACTGCAAAATAGACTATGATTAATGCAATTTACCTATGAGTTATCTATTTTCAAGACAAATGTCTAAAAATAATATTGGAATTAAGTATTCTTTCTCAGCTTTCCTCTCTCTGTTCCACAAGAGTACAGTTGACTTTCCATAACCAATTGGGGGTATTTCTTTCCAGTGTTTATAGTTAAAAAATACATATCTGTACATATATATATTGAGAATTACTTCAGAATTATATATATATGTACAGGAATACTTAAGAATTAGTGTTAACTTTACCCCCCCACAAAAAAACTTACTCCTGTTGTATTTAAATTTTTATTTCTAAAACAGAAGCTCTCCTGTGCTTAAAAACAAAGTTTAAATCTTTAAAATGCAACAGTGTTCTTCAAGATCCTTGTTTTAGGTTGCTTCAGTTACAGATATCTGTGCAGTTCCTCCTGGAACTTCTACACAAAAAAACAGACTGAAAGGATGCAATTTTTGTTTAGTTTTAACAACCTTCTTCTCTAAAGTATATGCCTATCAAAGAAATCTGAAGACAAAAAAATAACAGTAAATAATTCCAAGACTTAAATATGGAAACTCAACATTATCTGTAGTTGGTTTTACTGGATGTCACAACTCTCTAATTTCTTGTAACCAGTTCTTGTGCCTCTTCCTCCTAAGGCAAAATCAGATCTAAATGGAAGTTCTACTCTCAGAAAAATTGGGGAAGGCAGGTAGTACAGGGATGGTTTCCTCCACAAAGTTTATTTACTTTTCAGAAAAAAGGATCACTCTTGTTTCAGACAGATTTGTAAGGTTGGAGTTGAAAGAACACAACTTCTTCTTTTCAAATATGGGGAAATGAGGTAAGTAGGACTATAAAAGGAGGGTCCCCTGCCCCCAAATCATTGCAGTAGAGACAGGTGAGCTTTGGGGTTGAAACTATGCTGGGGTTACATCAAGCCAATGTCTTTCCCATCAAATTATAAAGGATAAAAAGAAGAAGAACAGGCTCTGGAAAAGATGGAGTGATGTTAGTCCCCCTTTCTTATGGTCCATCGCTGCTGAGAAACTAACTCTGTGTATCTCCCCGCCCTTCTCTTCAACTCCCTGTCTTGTTCAGTCCCCCGCCCCCTTTAGATGTGTTTGCACAGAGGAGAATGAGTGAGGAACCCGACTCCTTAAATTGCTGTGCGCAAAATCCACCCCTCCTCTCTCCTCCCTCCTCTCCAGCCTCCGGATCCCGCACAGCGGTCCCTCCCTCTGTCCAGCGTTGTGGGGTTGGGGCTGGGCCTCTGTGTACTACTAAGGTGGGAAGGGGCTACCAGCAGAGGACAGTGTCAGATGCTCAGCTCTCCCCTTCTGCCTGGCGCTCCTCTCCGGTTGCTCCAGACTTGGTCTCTGTAAGAAAGCGCAGGAGCTGTGGCAGCGGCGAGAGAGGAAGCTGCAGAAGCGAGTGGAACCCGAAAAGTCCCGGGGCTCTCGGTTACCTCACATCGTGGTCTCCCGCAGGCCGTCAGCACCATGGACAGCAGCGCCGTCCGCGCGAATGCCAGCAATTGCACAGATCCTTTTGCCGGATCAAGTTGCTCCCCTGCGCCTAGCCCCAGCTCCTGGGTCAACTTGTCCCACTTAGATGGCAACTTGTCCGACCCATGCGGTCCGAACCGCACCGAGCTGGGCGGCAGCGACAGCCTGTGCCCTCCGACCGGCAGTCCTTCCATAATCACGGCCATCACCATCATGGCCCTCTACTCCATCGTGTGCGTGGTGGGGCTCTTCGGAAACTTCCTGGTCATGTATGTGATCATCAGGTAAGGAAGGCTCCAGGGCTGCGAGCGTGGAGCTCAGCGGCTAAAAGGGGGGGACAAAGCGACACCTAAGCCCCAAGGCGGAAGGATGAGAGAGGGGAGATGGATAAGATGACCATGGGTACAGTGATTGCTGTTTGTGCGTGAAAAACTACCTTCCTATTTCTTCCCCTTCCTTGAAAAAGAATCCAAAATCCCCAAAACAGAGAAGTTTCTCTAGTAAAGGCTATAAAGGTGTAGGCAGGAGAGGGAAAAAAGCTGTCTTAAATCTCTCTCTTATTCTGAGCTAAGACGGCTTGTTAATAAGGCGCCCTGCAGACGGGCTCTTTGCAAGAGCTATGGAAACAGTAAGTTGTGAACAACGGGAGAGGAATTCTATTTTGCTTTCTGTAATTGAGGAGCTGAGTCTTCTCAGTTGTCTAAACATATGCACCTGGCCAACTTTCTCACACCTGCTGGTTTAGGCTATTCTACACCGCCACCCCTTCTCCTCCCTTGTCATAGTAGCCTTGAACCCACTCTGACTTCCATCCTGAGGCCGCACTAGGCAGAGGAAGTTTTCTTGGCATCTCCCCACAGTAGTTTTACTTTGTTGTAGCAAACAGGACAGTTGTGTTGGCAAACATAGCCAGTTTGCACTTGGTAACTGCAGATCTACATCTGGAATAGGTAGGGTGGTTCAGGGTGGCTGCAGAACATGACTGTTTTACAATGCCTCCAAAAAGTTGGAACCAGTTAGGAGTTACTAAAACGGCATAATTCTGCATTAGAAATTACTAGATAGGAAGTTGCAACAGATGATTTTTTAAGGTCTTTATCCAGTGAAATTATTTTGAAAGAATTTGTGGTCCATCTAGAATTAGTCTAGATGTTCTAGATGAATTTAGCAGAGTGTGCAAGCTCTCAATGTTGAGACTGATGTTGATTACGGTGGTATTGATGTATACATTCAAATACTACAGGTGACAATGAAATGCTACACAATAACTTTAATTAAAGCTGATAAATATTTTAACCCTTTAAAATAGCTTCTGGTTTGAGTTTTTCTTCCCTCTAGGGAGTTATATTACATAGTGAACATGACATTTTCATGTTTGGTTGCAATATTTGCCTCACCTATTCAGTAAATATCACAGGTTTTGATGGAATTTACCAATCAATTAACAATCATTCTCCCCACTATAATTTTATTAGCAAGGTATTGTAAATTGCTTATAATTGATTCTTTCTACTTATATGTCTGCTCTCTTCAATTAATGATTGTTAAAGGGTAACGCTAATTTCCCTGATCTTTTGATGAGGAATAAGATCAGTGGTGTCGCTGGGAAAACAGCACCATCTATTGAGGGGAAGGCTAACAACAGAAGGAAAAATACAAGTAGGAAATCAACAGAAGAATTTATCTTTGAGAACATTTACTTTCTGTAATTCAATACAAGGATTCACATCAGACATAAGAACCAGGTCTCATTCTGAACTATGACAATAAAGCCATAATTAAAAGCTGGCCTGGTGAAGGGAAAATATGTTTATCTTTTCTGTGAAAAAATTCATAGACTCATAAGCTGAAACAACCAAAAGGGACTACAGGTTATCCATGCTAAATGACTAAGCCAAGGCAGAGAAAATATAAATTATTTATCCAAAACCAGATAGCTCCTTAGCTCAATGCCACTGAATCTCTCTCAGCTAACACACTTTATTAGTATGGCAAATCATGATATGAGTTAGTTTAATTATTAGAGTGACATAGTGGGCCTGGCTTGCAGTAATAATACAGGAATAACAAACTGCTCCAAATTTATTTATGGAATCTCAGATTTTAAGAGTATGAAACATAAATAACCAAAACATCTAGAAACCCTGCCTTCTGAAGCACAATCTTTTATTCCTTTTATTATTTCTCCTTCACATTTCCTTTCCTCATTTCTCTATCCTTTGGTTTATGTTTATAAAGAAAGAACCAATTAAGCAGCAACTAGCTGATAAATAAAGTAGCTTGGTATTATCCCAGTGTATAAGGGGTTACTGGTCAGATGAGTTTGTTTTAAAGGCATTACTTCTCACCTTTTGTTCATTAGAGAAACCCACTAACATTGCATCTCACCGAGAACATGATATGGTGCTTTATTCTCAGTGCTGAAAATTCTGGCAAAATGCAGTACTACTTGCAAGGTCAACCCAAACACTCACCTGTGGCAGATTGGAGGTTTAATTCCAAAGCCAGAAAACTGTCTGGGAATGTGACTGTGAAACAGAAAAATAGGCAGTTGAGTGACTGATGAAGTGGTGAGAAAGCATCTAAGAACTGAAGAAATTGTGTATATTTAACTCACTGTCTCCAGGGTAATAGTGCTTTAACTACAAAATCACCAGCTCAGAGACATGATTGCTCCTGCGTCTCTTACATACTGGAGAGAAGAGCTCACTTTCTTATACAGTTTAATATTCAAGAAATACTATTAAACGGTCACGTAGTTTTCTGGCCAGATTAAAATAGTATTTATTAGAATGTCTTAGTACATTGAGTGAGTCATGAGGCTCAGAAGACAATGTCAACGACAACAAAATAACTGGTATTACAACTGCTGTGATTAATTCTTCTCTGATCTGTGTCTCCCAGTACTGTCATCAACTGTACCTTCATCAACAACACTATTAAATACGATATCTTAAGTGGAATTCATATACAATGCTGTTGTAAGGAATATAAGGGAGGAAAAGAGATATTGTCATCTGATCTAAAGACATAGAATCCAGATGTTAAAGGGGAGAAATGTTTTAAGTAACCATCACCTCAAAGTATTTTTGGTTTTAAAGGAGAAAATGTCTGCAGGATAATACTATAAGAGTTATGACAAAGATTCTGAAAAATACGAAGAAAAAATATTACAAAAAAGTAGTAATCATTTAAAGTATGATAATATATTAAGAATCTTAAAGAAAAAATCAAAATAATACACAAAGTTATAGCCACAAAAGATGTTTCACTTACTAAAAATATTTAACCAAAATATTAAAATTAATGGATTAATTAACATATTTATCTTATGAATTTTTTCCTGTAAAGATTTGTCTATGTACATGAAATGTTTAGCACTATTGGAAAATAGGGAACTTTTGGATCCCTGTGGGCCATAAGATTTATGTTATTTGCATGAAGTTGTCTTTGGGTTTTCTGAACTCTTCTGTCTCTTCTTCCTTAAAAAATTGACCACCTTATATTTTAGAATATGATTCTATAGTAATTATAATTATGCAATTATATAATGAGTCTCCTTTTTAAAAAATTATTCATGATTGTTGGGCTCTGTGGGTATAGCTCAGTGGTAGAGTACATGCAGAAAGCCCAGAGTTCAATACCCAACACCAAAACCATTCTGTATAATTTTAATAAAGTACACATACATATTACTGTGCTTGTACTTGCACACATACATGTATATATGAAATAGTTTCAGTTTCTCTTCTACTCCAATTACCACTCAACATTACCACTATTGTGAATTTGGTGATGATTATTTACATGTATATTTGCACATATTCACATGTATATTTTTATTACATATAAGTATTTTTCACAAACAACATGGCTTTTTTACCTGCTCTTATAACATTTTATAATTGCTATTGCTATGTACATTAATGGTAACAAACACAGTTTTACTGTTTGTCCCAAGTTGTCTTTGTTCCATCAGGGAAGCAAAACAATCATAAAAACAAAAACAAAACAAAAAAAAATCTAGTTACTGTCTGTCCTGAAAACTCTTAACTAATCTCACTAAGAAAAATTGGTGTACTAAGGTTTATTTGATTAGGTTTGGTGGAACAGCTATCTTTCTGCATCAGTATCAGAATACAAAATTCAGAACACGACTAATAATATCTGAAAGGTAACATTAAGAAGATCTCTTCAAGAATTAGAGAAAGAATGAAACAGAAGAGGACAGGGAAGAAGGGAAGGGGAGACACCTGTGTCCCTTCTCCAACCTTGAAACCGTGATCTATGTAGTCCTAACCTTAACTCCAGTTTGGAGGCCAACTTATTGAGGACCCCTTGGTCAGGACCTACCACATTCTTCTGCTGAGACCTCTTTTTCAGGGCTTTCATACACAATTGAACTAAGTGATAGGCTCTACTGAGAGAGAGACCATTCTGTTCTGGATATAAGTTTCTGTCCAGGAAAGAATAATAACAAGTACATTTTTTGTTCAATCATGTTAGCTTATCAGTTGTATATAAGTAGGTATCATAGTCTGTTTGGACTGCTATCATAGAATACCATAAACTGGGTGGCACAGACTTTACCAAAAGATTTTATATCTGGTGAGGGCTGGCACCCTGCATCACAACAGTTCCCTTCTCCCTGTGACTTCATTTGGCAAAAGTGGTAAGGAAGCTTCGAGAGACCTCGTCTATAAAAGCACCAGTGCTAAACATGAGAGCTCTACTCTCATGACCTAATCACCTCCCAGAGAAGCTACTTCCAAATAAGATCACAATGGGGATTAATTCTCGCATCCGTATTGGTGAGGGGATGCACGAGTGTGCAGCAGTAGGCATCCTGAAGTGATACAAATGGTAACCTTTCATATATACTAAGAAGTATTAGTGCAATTTAGTAAGTGTTAAATAGATTAAATAACCTGATACACTCAGTGTCTTCCAATATGTGTCAGATTTTTTTCTCTTCTATACTTTTTTCTTTACCTTTTCTTCTCTGCATTTTACCACTGACATATTTCTGCCTCTTCTCCTGTCAAAATCCCTCTTATGCTTTAAGTCTCAATTTAAATCTGTTTCTCTTTGCACTCTCCCCTAGAACTCCCAAAACCAAAATATGTACTACAATTGTGAAAAATCTGTTCATTTTCTCATGGCCTTAAAAAATGTCATTTAATAATCCTTGAAGGCTTAGACTACATCTATCTCTTGTTTACTAAGAAATTCAAAACCCAAAGCTGACCAACAAAATTAGACACCTTTAAAATTGTGTGTAGTT